CTCATCATTCAGCAACAGCAGTGAGAGCTGAAGTAATATATTGTTTATTAGCACTTCTGTCTTATTTGTGTCTCATCAGTTTAGTGGTTCATACAGCACTGTCCAACTTCTATGCATGGACAACACACGTAATGTGTTCTTATCAACTGGTATTGCTAACAGTGGCTAACCTGGCTTGAACTGATGGGCCTATTGCCAGCAACGTTTTAGTTTTCTGACCAGATCCAACCTTTGACTTCCGAGGTAGATGGAACACAGCATTACTTTTGGGGAGCTGTCATGTCATCCATCTTTTTTAGGTTCCCATCGACCTCAGCTCTTGCCCACTTTGTGTTTAGTGCTAATTAGCAAACTTAGATAGTGGGCAGTGGTGTAGTGGAGGGTATACCCACATCTTTTTCTATCCAGTTACAGTATACCCACCTATCAGCTAAAAAGCCACAGGAGAGTATGCCCACTTCCTCATCGGTAACCTACCTATCTACCTAGTAGTACACCCACCTCATCAGTTACCACTACACCACTGACAGTGGGCTAAACCTGGTAAACATTAGGGCCTACCTGCTAAACATCAGCATGTTAGCATTGTCATTGTGAGCATGTTAGCATGCTGACATTAGCTTTAGCATTAGCTCACTTTGCCTACAAGCAGCCGAATCAAGAACCAAGAACAAATCTCTGGATTTTTTTTTACCAAACCACAAACAAAGTCATGCCTATGGGTCCTATACAGTCATTAGTAACACCTTCTGTTGAGTTTTGAGCATGTCTCTTAATATAAACCAGCATTGTGAGAGATTGGTAAGGGCTAGCTATCTGCACAGTCACAAAACAAAACAAAAGTCAGTGTTTTAAGTCCAGAAAAATGTCTTCCCTACAAATTGAGGGTGTAGGTTTCAAAGAATATAGCATCAGTAGCCTATGTAGGTGGATGATTTCAACATATTGATCCAAGGAAACAAACATTTGACATTAGTAAGAACGTAAAACCCTTTGAAACGTCTCCTTAATGTGTCATACTAAAAGGATATTGAGCTGAGGAACATCGGACCTTGGGAACACAAATACTCTCCCCCACAAACTACGCACATCATCACAGTGGGAGTGAAGCTGAAAAAAAAAAGGTTGTACAATGAATGCAGGTATGAGTAAGAGGACACGGGGTAAGTGAAGGCAGAACAAAGCTGCAGCTCCTCCAACCCAGATGGGACTGTTCGGTCATTTGCTAACCAGAGAGGGCAGCAGCGCCGCTGTGCCAACAGTCCCACAGGCCTGCAAGGCTGCTGATGCAGGCTTAATAAAAGCCCCGAAAATTATGTGAGTGTATCGCTGAGTGACACACTGCTGTCCACTTAGCAGATGCCCTGCAGCAGCTGCGGCTGTACTGCCTCGATCGGGAGCACCTCAGCACTAGTGTTTGTGGAAGAAGACAATGTAACCGCAGTTATGCTCTTATTGGATTTTTCAGACTATGATCCTGTTAGACTTGTTTCAGTCGCAATGTGCTGTCTCAGACATGTCTTCCACTTTTGTGTCAGAAATTTCCTATCAGACATTTTTTTACCCGTGAAACCAGGTGCCAAAAGCATGCAAGAAAAGGGGTGAGAAGACACTAATGACACAAATGACCATCTTTAATCTGATGTACACTTCTTAAACTTGCAAAAACAATACGAAAATAGAGTTGAAGAAGGAGGGGAAACACAGTGGGAGGAAGAAGTATTTGGATTAAATAAATATTAACTCTATCTGTCGTCTACAGGGTGCCACAGAACCTTTAGACACCATAGTTTTAGTTTAGGTCACTCGTGTGTAGATATTTGCAAATGCATTTTGTTGTTCCCCAACTAAATCAATTTATGGAGGGAGGAATGCAGAGAGGGGAGTGCAGAGATGAGACAAAGTCTGTCATATGATCCTGAGGTTGCTGTGGCAACTGCTCCCAGCAGTCAGCTTCAAGAAGGTGCGTCAAAAGCGTCACCAAGACAGGACCAGCTGTAGAAATAGAGAAAACAGATCAGAACCTGAGCTTGTCTTGGAGGTTTCACTCACACGTATTTGGTTTCGGGTAAACTTAATCACAGTCTGAACAGCGTTACGAGGCATCACAGTCACAGAGAGAGAGATATGAGCTGTGATTCAAATGCACTGTAGAGGTCACAGTCAGGTCAAACTGTATCCATGCTTGTTAAACAGGATTTTGTCCTCACAAAGTTTAAAACCACTTAATTCCTCATGTTTACTCCCCTATGTTCTTTATCATCACTCAGAACAGACCCAATATGATACATGTATGTAATAATAATGCAGATTGAAAGAAACATCAACGGGAGAAGTGTGGACTAACACATCTGATTAAGACGACCAAGGAGGCCGACATGTGGGAACGGAGGACAAAATAAATCCATAGGGTCGGGATGAAAAATTGCCTCTCGATAATATCTTCCTCCCCGATCTCTGTGGTATTAGAGAAAATTCTGGCGGATGGTGCGTGATTTATGGTCCTCTGGGTGACTGTGTCTGCTGCAGTCGTGTCGCATGTCCAATGTCTAAACAGAAAAACGACCACACAGTGCAAGTCCACAGTTTGATCAGGGAGATAGAGCTGTTAGTCTGAAATCATTAGAGGGTGGTCATCTGTGAAGAAAATTACGTCTGTATTCTCTCAGAAAATGGATTTCTGTCCCAAAAGAGGAATTTAATGACTATTAATGTAATTCTTGTTTTGGTAGTGAGTAAAATACAGTAATGATGCACATGTATTTGACATCTGTGGCTACTTTTCAGATAAGGCTTTTACACACAAAACATACAGCACTATCATTTTATTAAATATGATGCAATCATGTTGATTGAACTATTAAAATAATGCTACTAAAATTAATTCCATTTCGGCCAAATACAAGTACAACATTAAAGTCTTGCTTACACCTTACTATTAATCCCCAAAATCCCAAAATACATATTTTTCCACTTACCTGTAGTGCTATTTATCAGTCTAGATTGTTTTGGTGTGAGTTGCAGAGTGTAGAGATGACACTCAGTTTAAAGCACCAAAAAATACATTTTAAAAACTCATCAGCAATGTCTCTTTTCAGAAATCATGACCTGGTTACTTAAGATAATTCACAGACCTTGTTGTGAGCAGTTTAATATAGGAACTATTTTCTTTCTACTACACCCACTAATCATATCACAGCGTAGAAGGAAGCGTGCATCTACTCATGGACAAGAGACTTGTGCTCAGGACATAAACATTTATGGATATTTTATTTCTACCAAACTACACCCACCAACTAAATCATGAGCCCAGTCTCAATCCGAAATGTGTCAATATCTGGTGCTTAGGCAGTCCTTAAATGTCAGCATGATACACGGCTGGTTGCCGTTATAGTTTAATGGCACCCAGCAGCGTCGGAGAAAACACGGCGGGACAAGGACGAAAGTTAAGGCACCGAAAGACAGACTGGGGTGGGCAGGAAGGATGGTGGATGGGTCTTACAAACACCAACTTTCAACCGAGAGAGAGGTGTTCGTGTCCCGTAAGATTATAAAGCCAAACGCTGTTTGTTTTTTTCATAAACCTAACCATGTGCTTTTGTTGCCTGAACCCAACAATGTGTGTTTATTGTTTATTGTATGTAAACGTTAAATTTCCTGTGAAATTAGAAGTGTATTTTGAAAGAAGACAATGCATGTAACAGGCAGAACTTGACACGGCATCCCAGAACGTCAACAACCAACGCACCCAGGGTACCTTGCACATTGTATGTGGACGTGAAAGGTCCATGACCAAATGTCGATATGTGACAAGATCAGAGTGAGGAACTGTTGGAATCACCACCCTGTAGGAAGTGTGCAACTACTGTTCACCTAGCACCACTGAGCTAGCTAATGCTATCGTTCAGCCAAAGAGGACACCACTAATGTTTACATCTCACAGTGTCGAGCACTAGCCTCTCATCCATGAGTAGATGCACACTTCCTTCTGCGCAGTAATACGGTTAGTGGGTGTAGTTTGGTAGACAGAAAATAGTTCCTACATGAAACTGCTCACAACAAAGTCTGTGGATTATCTCGAGTAACTGTGTCATGATTTCTGACAAGAGACATTGCTGTTGAGGTTTTTTTTTAAGTATTTTTTGTCACTTTGAGCACCACAAGCTGAGTGCCATCTAGTTTCAATATATACACAAGAAGGCAGACACCTCTATGGCTGATATCTCCAACACTGAGCAATTCACACCAAGAAAATATATAATATTTTTTACTGGTATTTAGGTGGGTTTTTGACACTTCTATGATAACACTTTGTAATGAAGATAAAACTCATATACTTTAGTAATACTTCATATTTCTATGAGAATATGCTGTTTAGCTTTCAGATAGGCTGAGCAAGTGCATGGGTCTGAAATAAACTCTCTTTTTTTTGCATATCAATTTATGTATAAAGTAACTATGAATTAACATTTCTTACCTGATGATCTTAACGTTAAAGTCATAGAAGCTTGATCATCTGTTAATGATGAGCAGGAATTCATGACACCACCCGCATTAATCCATACATTAAACCATCATGAGCATTAGTTTAGCATTACTAAAGAATATGAATCACCCTTATAAGTGCATACACGTCTTACATCACTGGTAGAGGGAAATAACATATTTGCTCTCTTCAAATGTAAAATGTCCTTCTTTTCTCCCTGTCACTGTATTATTCATTCATTGTTCATGTATTTATTATGAGTTTTATTCATTTATTAATGCTCATTCACGGTTTTCTCATGTGTTTCTCTGTTAATACCAACAGCTTCTCTGTTTCTCTACATTCGTGTTTTATGGGATGCATAACCTAAACACTATTTATGTTACCCATGCACGATGATGTTTTTTTATGTATCCTGACAGGCCAGTGTTGAATGGCTTACATTTTTTATCAATTGAATTGACGAAAACTGCGTCAGACCATCACTTCCTCAGGTAGGAGTGGATAACCTTGACAAATCTCTCTTTATTTCTCCCTCTCAGCATCACCATCCCGTGCACGGACACTGTGATGGGCTCCGACAACAAGTGAGTGGCGGCTGATAATTTGTCTTTGTTGATAATGAGCAGCACTTTGTGCGTCACGGTGCGTCCCGGACTCTCCACCCTGCATGTTAATTGTAGGCAGAGCAGCATGTGATGCTCCGTCCTCCAGCAGTCCTGCGAGCGCTCAGCCAGTAACACACCGACACCCAAGCGCTGCCCGGTGGATGCATCCATGCCTCTCTACACATTTTCTGCCTTTATAATAAAAAGCCTGGATACTGACTGTTAAAGACTCAAGGTAAGGATGATTTCTCCTTAACATCCACTGTGCATCTCTGTCCTGCGTGTTATCATCTGGGTTTTAAAGAAGATGTGTTTATTTCTGCAGAAAGTTCACACACAGCTGCAGAAGAGTTTCAGTCGCTTTGTCTTGTGTCTTAAACGCTGCTTGTTTTGAATCTTGCGAAGTTCGCGTGTAATTTGCATCGTGGTGGAAGTGAGCTGTAGTTTCCACAGAGGTCAGAGAATAATCGTCTTTGACCTTGATTACGCGTGTTTAAAAGTCGTCGCATGGCTCGTGATGGGCAGTGAAATCAGAGATGATAACATAGGGCTATCAGCATCAGGACCAGATGTGTCACCTGGTGTCCACGATGAGTGATCTGTGCTCTGGTGTTGATGAGTGAGGTTTACACGACCTGCAGCTGCTCTGTTCAGCTGTGTGTCAGAGATAAATCAGGGTTTTATACATGTCAAAGTACTTTTTAAATCGATGCTGCTTTAAATTTGGCCATTTATTTGTTAAAGTTGTGGGTTACTGTCAGCAAAATGAGAATGAGCTCCAGGCTTTTATTGTGAAACAGCTGATTAACCACTAACTGTGGGTCAGACTTGTAAAAGAGGCTGCTGGTGATGATCACAGGATCTGACTGTGATCAATCAATGAACAAGCATTGGGCTCTTAAACAGTGATTACTGAGGCTGATACCTGCAGGGTCTGCTGCTTTTCATCCTGTCAGTTACATGTTATATTGTGTCACTGGAGGTGTCTGGAAACCTCATTACAATCCATTCAGATATCAGTGGTCTGACAGTGAAAACAGTGATGTGTGAGAACACGTGCTCACAGAAGTGATCAGGCGTTGTTGGTGGAAAGTTACTAATGTGAAGTGGGGTTTCTCGAAAAAATAAGCTTACAGGGCAATAATGAAGTCCTAAAATAGGTCTTCTGTATTATTTATAGTAGAGCTGGGCAGTATAAAGATATTAAATCGATATCATTACATGAAACTTGATATCATCTCTCATTTGGGACCATAAGTTTTGTCTTTTCCTGGTTTTAAATGCTTCATTACAGTAAAGTGATGTAATTTTCTGAGCTTACCAGACTGTTCTCGTTGTTCTATTATTTGCCCCCTTAGTCATTATATCCACATCACTGATGATTATATATTTATTAAAAATATCATTGTGTAAATATTGTGTGAAACTACCAATAGTCACTTGCAATATCGTTGCAATATCAGTATTTGTTAAAGATATTTTGATATTTGATTTTCTCCATGTTGCCCAGGCCGAATTTATAGTCTTTCTGTTGTGCTGCTTTTAATACACTGGGATGATTTTTGAATATTCTTAGTAAAAGTTAAGGTAGTTATTTTATTGACAGAATTTTAATTTTGGTGACTAATTAATAGTTTCAGTGATTTTTCAAGTAAAAATACCAAATGTTCCTTACTCCAGCCTCTCATTTATAATGATTTGCAGCTTGTCTTTGTTACATGTGACAGGGTATCTCTGGGGTTTGGACTGTTGGTTGGACAAAACAAGAAATTTGAAGACAGCATCTTTGGCTTTAGAAATGTATGACATTTTATACTTTTGGTGTATGAACTGAGAAAATAATTTGCATATTAATTGACAATGAAAGTAACTTTTAATTTCAGATCCAGCCTCACGGCACCCATTCTTAGAGTATCATGTCCAAAATTATTGAGCTGGTGATTTATAATATTCACTACCATGTTTCCATTAGTCTATAATCACCTATAAATAAGAATTGTTGTGTTTTCATTAGCTTAGAATGAGCCTTTTATATCTACAGAGCGGGTCCTCTTCTACAGAGTCTGCCATGTTGTTTCTACAGTAGCCCAGAATGGACACACCAAACACTGGCTCTAGATAAGGCCACTTGCATGTTTGAGAGAAGAACTGAAGAGTACTAAAAGCTCCTACACTGCACCTTTAAATGAAACTACATCATTGTTGTAGATAAAATAACTCCATATTGCACCCTCTGGTGTTGATGTCACATTTTTTCAGAATAAGCACAAGTCCAGGTCTTGTAGTAGAGGTGATGTACAGTATGTGGTAACAAATACCCTGCATTTGTCCTTTCCCTTGTTATGAAGCATGTGAAAGAATAAATATACAAAGATCAGACAGATATTTGCACTGGTTATATAATCATAACACAATTCTTCATGTTTTCGCTCAGTAATGTAGATCTTCCTCAATGGATGTAACCATGACTGACCCAGGAGAGAGATAACGTTTTATGCCCACCCAAAGGTTTTTTCCTGCCATGGAAAACATGCCGTATGAAATTATTCCACAGAGCCAGACTCTTAGTATCAGCTGGGGTCATCTAAACTGTGTGTCGGTGGGGTTTTTTTCCAGCAGGATTAGTTGTCGGGTGTTTTCATTTCTCAGCGTTGGCTGGATGATGCAGCCTCTGATTGATATTACGTGTCTTGTATACTGTAGGATGGGATTGAATGACAAGACAGAAAGGCAGAGCTGGGGGCTTTATAGTTAATGCACACAGGATTATAAAGACTTGTGAATGGCCGTGATGGATTATTGCATCATAGGCTCATCTTGACATGCACAGAGGAGGAAATCTGCTGTGGGATGAAAAATACATAAACAAGGAGAGCAAATGCGCATTTTGAGGATATAAGTATAAGTAAAGGAATGTGTGGAGTTTATGCTCTTTGTGGAGAATCTGCTGGAAGTTAGAAAGCTTGTTTTTGGCTGATGTAAGCAGTGAGTGTTGTGACGATGGCGGCTCGTGTGCATCACTGCTGTTGCATCACACTAAAGGTGCAGCCTCCTCATTCAGCCCCAGCTCTCCACTGCTTCTTTTAGCCTTACGTGTTCCCTTTGCTTTGACAGGACTTTGGTGATTTGATCGCTCATTACCAACACAGAAAATCAAACATCATGAGATAGTCTTTACTCATAATCTTTCCCCCCATATGTGTAACCTACATCTTTTTCAGTTTTGCAGAGGTCTAATTTTTATAATGGAGAAACGACTCACTCAATAAGTAATGAGCCTGCACAGGGGCTCGTGATGTAGATCAGGAGAACACATGACAGCACTTCATCCAAGGCATCATGTTCACTTCCTCCATTACGTTTGGGTCGAACCAACCACTCCCTGAAAGAGGGGTGAGGCTGGATGTTGCAGCAAGGCTTCAGAGGATTAGGGGATTTACAGGGGGAAAAAAAGCGTCACTAAAGTTAAGCTTTGCAGAACAGGGAAATTAAATAGAACAATTTGCAGGATTGGGAATTTTTTTGGAAACGAAAACACTGCGCGAGACACAAAGAGCTGTGGTGCTTGGTTTTATTTTCAAAATGTCTGTTCAGGTCCCTGCTGAGTTTGTTTTTTTTTTGTTGAAAGAATCGGGTTAAGTTGGTGTGACCAATGGTCTCCTGTCTTTATGTTGACATCCATCATGGCTCTGGCGTCACAATCCATGTGTCTTATTACAAGCCTAACCAAGCACTAAATGGAGGAATAATTGTGTCAGCAACTGTGTGAAGTGTTATTTAAGCATCACAGCCAGGAAGAGGAGGCTTAAAATTACTGTACATTAAATGAGCCTTGACAGGGGCACAGACCTGACGATCTTTTATTTAAAATGGAGCCTATTTGTGGGATCTTTGTCCAATAATAGAACATTATTACAGTTTAATTTTTGATGATTTCCTTGAGACAAAATTTTCTATTTGACCTTTCTGTCTCTCTGCTGCAGGACTGAGCCCCAGACCTGAAATCCAGCTGTCACTCCTCAGCACCTCCCTCACAGCTACATCCATCTATCTCTTCTCCACTCTCTGCCTGCATCACCTCTTTCTGGTCCCACCAGACCCCGTCTTGCGCTCTCTTTCTCTCTCCACCCCCGCCCCCCCCCCGACCCTCAGCCTCCCTGATGCCTAAGAACAGCAAGGTGACGCAGCGCGAGCAGAGCCATGAGCACGTCACAGAGTCGGTGGCTGACCTGCTCGCACACGAGGAGCCAGTCGACTACAAGAGTAGCTCCCTGAATGTAGGAGGGGCCGCTGGGAAGAAAGTCCCACAGATAGAGGTGCCTGAAAACGATGGACGCCCCGCTTGGAACAGCAAGCTGCAGTACATCCTGGCCCAGGTGGGCTTCTCTGTGGGCCTGGGGAACGTGTGGCGTTTCCCTTACCTGTGTCAGAAGAATGGAGGAGGTGAGATACTTGTATTAATCCAAGCTGTAGTGTTGCACAAGGCACACCGAGTGACTGATCTCATTTACAGACATTTACTAGAGTTCCTGTATTTTCTCAGAGATTTTTAAAATCAGTGGATCAGTGAAAGAGCTGTGCGGTGTTTAGAAGTGGTCGTTTGTGCAGCTATGTGCAAACTGTCCCGGGAATAAGTCGAGGGTCACGTAAGGCTAAGATGTATAAAAAGAATGTGCAATGTACAGAGATATAGTCCCAAAGATATGTTTAAATGTAACACATAGGTTTGACAGAGGGGAGTGTTTCAAAGAGTTTGTGTCTGTACTGGGTCGGCCACAATATTTCCTGCCCACCTGAGGGTCCTGGAGGGACGGAAGATTGTAGCCAATCACCTGCTCAGGAAATGATACACTGCAATCTGCCATTGTTCTTGGTTGTGACAGCAATGGACCAGATACTGTACCAACATACCAGAACTTAATCTTGGGGCGGCTGTGGCTCAGGAGGTAGAGTGGGTTCTCTACAAATCAGAGGATTGGTGGTTTGATCCCTGGCTCCTCCAGTCCACATGTGAAAGACATCCTTGAGTATGTGGAAGATATTCTCGAGCATGTGGATATCCTTGGGCAACATACTGATGCCCAAATTGCTCCTGATAGCTGTGTTGTTGGTGTGTGAATGTGTGTGAATGTTTATGTGAGCAGGTGGCACCTTGCATGGTAGCCTTGGCTTCCAGTGAGTGAACGTTGTTAGCTCTGTAATGTAAGTCGTTTGAGTGTTCGGAAGACTAGAAAGGTGCTACAAAAATGTAAGTAGAGTTTGCATTTAAAGCCCACAGTGGGAGGATATTAACACATATATTAATGATAATCACATAAAAGTTCTATAGCAGCTTTAAGTATGTTTTCCATGATGTGGAACATGTAATGAACATGATTTTTACACATTTAAAACCATATCCACATAGAAAACACACTTTGTCAGCTCTCTGTGATCATCAGAAGAACACACAGTTATGGAGCCATTTAGTAAAAAACTTTAACCATTCAATAACAAAGAAGTTTAATCTGGCATTTATTTCTCTATATATTTTTTATGTTGATTGGTCTGTCCGTCAGTGAGTCTCTATCACTTTGGTTCCGACTGAAATACTTCAACAAATGTTATGTCATCCTCTGGATGATCTGTAAGAACACTGAACTCTTTATCCAGTGCAACACTAGTTTATGACCAAACACCTGCAATGACATTCCCATCAGCCTCAGCTTTACTTTGTTTTTGGGCCTATTTGCAAATGTTAGCATGCTAACTGAGATAGTGAACATGTTTAATAATACCTGCTATTACAGCTTCCAAATAAGTTCAGAAACAGCCGCTCACAGACACCATAACGGGAAATATGATAAACTCACTGTCTTTGGTTTATTTTACTCACTGTTTGACTATCTAGGGTGCTTTGGTTGGTTTAAGAGCTGATTGATTTGCAAGATGTTTGGAGAGTTGCAGGATGATGCTCTAAACTGATTGTCATTTAAGTTTATTTTTTGAGGGGAAATTCAATGTTTTCACTCTTGCACACAGGTCCGAAAGACCTATACCTGCACAAAGTGGAGAGATGTCAGAGTGAGGGGGCTGCCTTGGTCAGGTGCCCCAAGCAGTTGGGGGGGTTTGGTGCCTTGCTCAAGGGCACCTCGGCATTGCCCAGGAAGTGAACTGGCACCTCTCCAGCCACCAGTCCACGCTCCATATTTTGGTCCAGACAGGGACTCGAACAGGCAACCCTCCGGGTCCCAACCCAGGTCCCTATGGACTGAGCTACTGCCGCCCCGAAAGTCCCACTGATTTGACCCTTCCCCCGAGGGAGTGGTGAGCAGCAGCGGTGCTGCGCTCGGGAATCATGTGGTGATTTAACCCCCCAATTCCAACCCCTGATGCTGAGTGCCAAGCAGGGAGGCAATGGGTCCAATTGTTATAGTCTTTGGTATGACCCGGCCGGTGATCGAACCCACGACCTCCCAGTCTCAGGGCGGACACTCTACCGCTAGGTCACTGAGCTGGTGGTGACTGACAAACAGGCCTTTACAAAAACAAAGTTCAAATCACTGTGGTATCAAACGACTTCATCAAACAATAAAACTAAGATTGACAAAATCCGCAGCCGTTAAAGACTGTATCCCCTACGGTGTCTCCACACTTCTAACTCACTTTGGCACACCTGCTTTTAACTGAAGGTTCCCGAGATGCCAGATCAGGTGGCACATTAAAGTGACTCAAAAAATAATAGGAAACTAGGACTTGCTAGATATGGCTCTAACACCTGCTAAACATCAGTATGTTGGCATCGTCACTGACAGCGTGGCTGTTAACTCTTAGTCTTCTTCTGTTTTTCCAACAATCCAGTGTAAAGTTAACAGGACATATCAAAGTAGTTTTACTAAAAAGTAACAATACAAATCTATTGGGTATCAGATTTTACATCATTTAAGTCATTTGCAGCCTTTGACACAAGAGCTGAACAATAATTCATTATTTTATAACAACTTTAAGTGGATATATTGTGATAATACCATAATGTTTATGTTATCAAAATCTAAATTAATGATTCAAAACAAACTGTAATCAAAAAACAAATACAGTTAGTATTGAAATTCTTGATTTAAAAATGTGACATGTCAGTTTTGAGGACAAATGTTCACATTAACTCCGTGATATTGATTTTCACAACACTGTCCAGCCCTATTTGACACAAGTGTTAAAATCTTCCAGACACATAAAACCAGCTTCTGCTCAGCTGCTCTAACTAGACTTTAGTATCTCCATCACCCCATCACCATCACAACCTACATGGAGCCTCCATTCAGCACAGAAGAGCCAAGAGAGCAGCTGTATTGTGCAGAAAACAGCCAAATCTAAATATAGCTGCACTATTGACTACTGCCAGCAGTTCAGGCCGGGCACCACTGATACTCTGGTTAACAGAAGAGGGCTCGATAAAAAATGTAACTGTATAGTGATGAGCTTTTATTTCTGTGCATGTAATCAGAGGCGGACACAGTGTAAACCTGTGTTCACTATAGGTGGAGAAACACCTCGTCATCATAGACTGAAAGACGTGCCAGCGCTCACAAGTCCTTTATGTTGTTGCTGCTTTACTGCCTGCGTCTGATTTACTGCATATAGGCAGGATTTATTGCTTATTGGGAGGATTTACTCACAGTAGAGACCAGTCAGGTTGTACGACCTGACGGCCATTTTTCACTCTGTAATTGTCTGTCTGGCGGCCAATTACAGACACATTAAAGGTCTGTGTTGTTTGGGAGTTATCGCTGTTTGGGCCCCTCTCCCATTTATGTTATTTCTTCCCTCCCTTTCGTGACATCCTCTATCATTTCTCCCTCCATTGTCACATCTTTATGCTCGTGACTGGAATATATTACATCTATCACGGAGTGCAGTTTATATAACATTTGATGGAGAGGATTTGCAAAATCCTGGCAAAGGCCCAGAACTCCTCACTACATTTAACCTCGCTATTCTCTCTGTTTCTGCTTTCTTGATTTAGCCTTTCGCCCCCTCTCTTCTCTCTCTGCCTCATTACTCCTCCCACCCTCAAGTGTGTGTGCCACTGTATGTAATTCCTACTTTTGATGTATTAATAGTGGTACGTGTTTGCCTGCTATAAGTCCCAGATGATGACTCACCCTTCAGATAAAACAGAGTTGCATCCTGATTATGCCTCTCTGGATTACGCTGCAAAGAGACAAATTTAGACTTCCGTCAAAATTAAAATGAAATTCAAAGAATATTCATCAGAGGAGTTGCGGACCTTGCGTCTGAGAGGAGCTGGGTGGGGGTGGACAGGTGGGTAAATATATCTCACTGGATCACATTGTGCTGGAAAACTGATGCAAAAATGATGAATTACTGTATAAATGACAATGATAAACAGCAATGTTTCTACTCACATTGTTAAAGGACCATACCAGTATATTTGTGCTGTATATTTGTCTGAAATTAACTTTTTTCACTACCTCCCAATGTGGCAGGCAAAAGTGAATTTTGGCTGCCAGTCAGGAAATTTGTCTGCCCCTTTTGAAGTCTGTGCACTAAAGGAAGTAATAATATGTTTGATATATGTGCACAAAAACATATGCATTGTAAATTCATTGTGGTTGAATTCTACCATGGCTTTTATGGAGCCCCTACACATGCTGCACACATGCACACACCTACATAAAGTAATGTTGTCACAACACTGGAATTTCTAACTTTGATACAATACTTTTTTGGAGCATAGATGTCCTAAATAAATAGGACATTTGCAGTGATCTCAGCCTGTGGACCTTTCTGTGGCTGTCCAGCCCAGGTACATTGGTATGCGGGTGTCTGCCGTCCTTTCTTCTTTGTCTATTGTACCGACACACCCAAGACAAACTTTTTTGTTGCCCCAAGTAGGCTCAGTTTCACAGCAGCCCTAAGACTTATTCTGACTTAAACTGATATGTGTCATAGCTGGTGAAATTGATACAATAAGGCATGTACGCATGTGTGTGGGCACCTTAATAATGGTTATTACCGAGCCACTTTCAAATGTGTAGCTTTATCTAATCATCTCTATCTCACTAGATATTACTTCTCATTGTTATATCATATTCAGTATAAAATTGATCAATAGGAGCAGTCTGTTTTTTCCATCATTTTAGTTTTTGCTTGTGCCCCTTGAAAACACTTAATATCTTGTGTATTTGTATATGTTGCCAGATATTTAATACCCTGTTGATCTAAAACTGGGCTCAGTGAGTGACCCTGACCAGGGGAACCCACTGGTTGTTCTGGTTGGTACTGGTTGTGAATCATTAAAATTGTAGTTACTGTTCTTAGTGTTACTGTAATTTGAAGCATTCTCTGGCACAAGACTTTCCTTTGGGACAAATAAAGTTCTATTGAACTGAATTGAATTCAATCATACACTGACCTTACTCAACAAGTCTTTCTGTTGTGCATCTTCCCTGTCTGCCAAAGTGGCCGAAAGATTTTACCCGCCACTTACTCCATTTACTACAAATCCCCCACAGAGTGAGCAGTGTGGTGGCAAAACAACTATTTAATGAACAGTTTAAAGAAAAAGTCTTCACACGTCGGCTGTCTTTCTTGAGTTTTAATAAGCATTCATGAATGGAGTCACACACAGCAACCGCATGAACAGTCAGTCAGTGAGTGAGTGGCTAGATGTTCTTCAGCCATGCTATGCATGTCAACAGTCAAAATATATGGCACTCAGGTGGTTTCTGCAGTAAGCATCCCTAAGACACAACATCTCTTGATGCTCACAAGGACACCTTTCACCTACTTCCATTAGGCCTCTGCTGTATCTAACACTGCTGTCACAGTAAGGGTTAACTGAGCAATACACATCATACATCATAGCAAGTAAGCTTATACATAAACATGCAGAACACGCTATATGTTAAAAAAGGGTCAAATACCATAATTTTCCATCACAGCAGAAAAATATTCTGAACCCTGTTCAACATGAAGCAATCCTTTAAAAATACAACATACCACTGTTTCAGAAAGGTGCTGGTTCATTTCTGTGGTTGTTTTGAGGTTGTTGATGATGTTGCTGTTGTACTGGATTGGATCATATTAAAGTTTCTACTATTTTTGGTCTTCTGGCTGTAAATGAGGAAAACAAAATATGAAAATAAAACTAAATACCGTCTAATATGACAGCACCACAGACTACAGCCTCAAAACATATAATTTACTGTAGTTTACAAATAAGCAAGGAAAATATTGGACTTAAGAAAGGCTGAAGCTGAAAATCTGCAGCAATATGACACACTGTAAAAAGTGGTGAGTTGTGTATGTGTTGTTTACTTCATATAAAGCAAAAGATTAATCCTGTAAGGAAAAGTACTTTTACACAGTCTAGAAAAAATGACATCCTTTAATTCCCATAGCAACAACTCAAATTCTTTTCATTAGTTTGTTTTCTTTTATTGTTCTTTTGGAAAATCCATTTCTGTCACTGACAATAGACAGTTACAACACATTACATCCCTTGGTCTCTGTCTGAGACGTGTTGTCATTTCTGTTTGCACATTTACACACTTGCCTTGAAATGCTTCATACAAGCCTCCCTGTTTTTCAGGTGCCTATCTGGTTCCCTACTTCATCCTCCTCCTCATCATCGGCATCCCGCTATTCTTCATGGAGCTGGCTGTGGGTCAGAAGATCCGACGTGGGAGCATCGGGGTCTGGAACTACGTCTGTCCCAGTCTGGGCGGGATAGGGATGTCCAGTCTGATGGTGAGGGCGGATAAACCACTGATTTATATTTTCAGAATCATCTATCGTCTGTATAGCTGTAAGCTCAAAGCACACTCAGTAACACTTTCTTTAATCCAGACGAGCTGTTTGACAGCAGCATGGTGAAAAGAAGAAGTGTGGGTCCTGTGATAAGAATCAGTAAGGTTGTAATGTTAGAACAGCTGTCAGAGCCTGCAGTTAAAACAGAAACACATCAGCTGAAAGTGCACCAGTATACGGATAAAAAACAAGCCACAGCTCTAAAGAACAAACATAATCTGATCCCTAATTTAAACACAATATTATTGTGTGTGTCCTGTGCGTGATTATAACGTGTAACAGCCATGAAACTGATATGGCAACGAGCAGGATAAAGTTACAGGAACATCTGGAGTCACCACAACAGCCTCGGGCTCTCTTGGGTTTATGGGAGGTATTGACGTGTTTGAGAAGGAAAGGTAGCCTTTCTTTGGAGTTGCAGGGCGGGCGCAGAAGCAGCTATAAATATCTCGCAGAAGATCAGTGTTGAAAAGAGAGCACTTTAATTATTCATGCTTTCCTCAACCTTATTTAGCTTGTGAATGTCCTGGCTGGCAAGACTTCTCAGAAGACTGACAGCAACACGGGACGTGCACAAAGCATGCTGCCTCATTTACATGCTTTTCTCACGCTGTACAGATCTTTTTATACAGTTTAATGGAGGAAATGTGACACCCACCCAATAGCATTCTCCAGTTATCATTTCTGTTACTGTAATATATGCTTGCTGTTTATGTCATGCCTATCTATCTATCTATCTATCTATCTATCTATCTATCTATCTATCTATCTATCCAGGTGTGTGGCTTTGTGGGTCTCTACTATAACGTGATCATCGGCTGGAGCATCTTCTATTTCTTCCAGTCCTTCCAGTATCCTCTTCCATGGAGCGAATGTCCGATCAGAAGAAACGGGACACTTGCTAGTGAGTGATGTTAAACACTAACAGACAAGCAAAGTTGCGAGTGCAGCACATTTCAAACACAGAGGTGTAAATAGTTTTTTAATAACTAATAAATATTGCAACTTCTGATCAACCCTATAGATTTATAATAATACCTAGATACTGGACACCAAGATGGGACCTATTCAGTTCAGTGGAGTTTTTAGCTTCCAGGTGAATTTCTGCATAATGCCGCTCACTGAATATGTTTAGTGGTGTTTCTCCCGATGGCCCCACCCACAGGTACCCACTCAGCTCCTAGAAGATATCGCATTATGATGACATCACAGATTTTTAAAGGACAGTTTTACAAATGTAAAACCTCCATAGATCAAAACTTTATAACAGAAGAGTCATAATTACTCTTGTTTGCAATTCGAGTTGTCCTATTATCTTTTATAATGGTAGTTAAAGGGGAAAATGTTTTTAGGGCCACACTTTTTTTTCTTCTGCAATACCACAAGTGGCCACTTGGGGAAAAAATGCTCCAAGGCTTTGCTGGGAGCCTCATCAACCCACAACAATTTCAGGCTTAAAATATCAATTTCCGCTTAACTTCCTGGTTAAGCCAAACCCACTCCTTGTTTAAACTGCACCCATTACAGAGTACAGATAGGATACTGATAATTTAGTTGGCTGAACAGATACAGATACAGTTACAGATAATGGCGCACTTGCTCACAATGACAATGGCAACATGCTAATGTAAAGCAGGTAGTGTTTATCATGTTCACCATATTAGTTTGGCCGATTAGCATGCTTACGTTTGCTAATTAGCACAAAATACAAAGTGCAGCTGAGGTCAAACTCATGATGGTGCCAGGGGAAAAGTGAGAGGGTCACAGAAGTCCGTAGGATTCATCCTCTGGGGATCATGGATGTCTGTACAAAATTTCATGACAATCTTAAGTGCTATATCGTAGGCAACTGGACTTGCTTGACTTTCTTGAAGACATTTCATCTCTCATCCAAGAGGCTTCTTCAGTTTCATGACAATCTATCCAGTAGTCGTTAAGATATTTCAGTCTAGACCAAAGTGGCACTGAAGACAGAACAACAGTGACATCCATAGAGCCATGCTGCTCACACAGCTGAAAGTCAGAGACAAGAAATACAATGTGAGTGCAGAAACCAGTCGGTACAAAATCAAAGGCAGGAAAACGGGAGTTTTTACTGTAGTTAATTTTTGAAAATGGCTAAAGTTGGGTCACATTTTAGCACCAGCTAAATGCAAACTCAGTCCAAAGGCAAGTACTAGGTTTACTCTACATGGAGACCTTTACATTGCTATTATGTTGCTAAGGCAGTAGTTTTGGTCCCTGTTTACTTCCTGTCAGCTACCCAGGGAAACTATAAAATATCTATTTTTATATATATA